CCGGTCAGACAAACACACACACAAACACACAAACACACACACACACAAACCCACCAACAGACACACTTAGCCGATTATATAAGTAGGATAGATACGAAGAGATAGCCAGATGTATCATGCGTAGACAGCTATCCCTATCCCTATATACATAGTAACCTCATGGGAGCTTTCAGATAACCGCGGGATCTCGACTTTTGATAAATTCGCGACCAACACTTTCCGGCACAACTAGACACAATTCCTCCCTTCAACATGTATGTAGAGTTCGATAATGAAACTTACACCAGGATGGCACTCAAATGGAGAGATGATCCAATTCGTGAATACAAAGGAGCAAGTCACCCTTCGAAAGGTAATCATGCTTGCTCGCCCAGTTTAGAATTCTCAACGGTCAAGTAATGCAGTGAAGAGAAACATGCACTAGTCGCACTCATTCAGAGCTGATTTTTCACAAATTTCATCCCAACGACCTTCAGTAACTTTTCAGGATCGGTACCAACCCAAAACGCTAGCTTGTACACTCAGACGAACGAAAAATATTACAGGATGAGATGAAGTCTTTAAAGTCTTTCGGCTTTGATCAGTCCCGTCTGTGAAATGCGTTCCTATTCGACTTCTTTTAGAATCATGGTGGCTTAATGAAGGCGTGTACGGCTTATAAAATCATTTGCGGTGCCCCACCGGTGTAGAAGTTAGTGCTTTTATCCTCCCTGACGCATCTGGTACCAATTAGCCTACCCCGGAATGATGGAAAGTATGGATGGCCTGAGTGGATATCGATACCGAACTCGAACCCGTGACCATGCGTGGGTGATCTGTAGTGCGCCACATGGCACTACACAGCCTCCTCCGTCAGGATGAGGTGTAGCTTTGTGTTGGCGAATCCCCCTCCATTAGGGGTCGTGATGAGCCGATGTGTGGTTACAGAGGAAGGGAAGGCGGAGAAAAGACGCAGTGGAATTTCCAGATCCGTGTTCCACATCGTGGAATCGGATCTTCGAATCAACCTTTCCACCCCTAAAAGGAAGGACCAAGCAAGTCTAATGCGTTTATGGTCCTGTACAATAACCTGCAGCCGGTTACAACTCAAAACATTTGTCCTCACTGCGGACCCACCCTTACTCTCCACCCTCATGACAGCAGAGGTTGTTGAGATCTCTGAAAGCCTGAAGTGATAAAAAGATTCTGAAAAAATAAGGGCCAGACCGTGAGCGGACTGTGACTCTACGGACAATCTAAACAAAAATGGTCCACGCTCATTCTATTTGTCAGGAGCGGAAATTTGATACATATAGAGATCTTGTTGAGAGTTTATTTCAGTGATCACGGTAGGTAACTTCGTTGAAGCGCTTTGTTCACAAATGAGAAAAAACCAACACCCACAAAAAAATCCAGAAACTTCAAAACAACTCTATCATTTGCAAGTTGATGCGACGACTTTAATTCGAGCCTGCTTTGAAGATTACCTCTGATAAGGAATTCTCAGGAAAACATAAAGTCAATAGAAAATCTTCCGATACAGCAGTAATCTTCTGCAAGACATATCAGGTGCGGTCCATCATGTACTATATAGAGTTTGAGTCACTTTGTTGGGTTTACAGAATGTGAGGAATGGTGTCATAATAAGGGACCTGAGAATCGTAAACCGAAAGTGAGGGGTGGTGACCGATTCTAAGAAGCACAAAATCGCTAACCTGGCAGAGTGCTGCAAACCACAGATGGGCGTGTAATATAAGGTCCTTCATGATCCAATCTGGAATGCCGTCCTATAAATTCTTGATTAATATTGTATGCTGCTATAGCTATGCCCGAGTTGAAATCGGTTTCTAAAGGCACAGTTCACGATAATTTTGAGTTACTTTTTTCAGGCTGAAAAATGAATTTTGAAGAATTTAAAAAGATTGATGTAAAGGAGTACATCGGGGCAAAGAAAGCGAGAAAATCCGTCTACTTCAGGCTTTCCAAAAGTATTGAAAGTGGAGGTTGTACGAGGTCAACACGACAGGAATAGCAATGTAAGAGGTATTTTGACGAGATTCAACTTGCTCCTATCCTGCAAAGAGGTGACTACAGGAAACCATAACTGTCCAGAATTGCCTTTCACTGTCGCTAAGGGTCATGACAAGTTGCTTGAACTTCCCCCATGGGTCTTCTTTTGAATGGTGCAGCATCTACAAAGCCGTTGAAATTCGTCCACCAGAGGTGTGGCCCCCTCGATACAATCTCTCGTGCCTCATTGTGCCCTATCCAGGACGTTTTTCGCGCTTATAACGAAAGGTATGGTGTAAGGGTGAGCCTGGAATTGTTACTATAGGGAGATCTCGGAAACCATTTTTGTCGTGAACTATCCTTTAGGTACACCACGTTACCCTTCGAGAGCTGTTCCTATCGCCCCAGCATCACACAGTTTAATTGTCATGCCCATTCCTACGCTGCTGTGCGGTAAGGAGCGAGAAAATCGAAATATGAAGGCAGAGAGTGAAAGAAAGATCACAAAATATAAATGAAAGTTCATGTCACTCAAGAAAGAAAGCTAGGAATTCGGCTGGTAATCATTAGTACTCATGGATGGTTGAATAATGGATGCTCCTGCAAGGGATCTAGGAATACATGAGTGTTAAGCCTTGAGAGTCTACAATTATTCTTGAGGAGCTCTTCGAAAAAGGTCTCACTCTGAATAGGAAAATAAAAATGAAAAAAAATAAACAAATAAAAAAAGATAGAACAAGAGCATCAGAAGAGCGTGCTACAAGTAAAAGTAGCGCATACTCACAACAAAAACAAAGTGACTGATTGCTCGTAAAGGAACGAATTCAAAGCAAGCCCACAACACCCACCCTGAAGCTGAGTCGTACTGGGTAGGAGCAGAGTCATTTCGAAAAACTC